ATAAATGTCATTTATGGGTCCTTTCCTTTTCTGGATAGAGAATCAATGATCGGTATTGATCATGGGCTCTGTCCATTCATAACTGAAGAGTAGTAAACTGTGTTTACTATACTTCAGTTTGTGAATGAACTGGAAGCTCTGTACCTGTTTATTCATTCTGTGCAGCTGAAGCTGCAGAGAAGGAGATTGAGGGCTGTGTCCTCAATCTTCTTTCCCTGTCTCAAAAGAAAAACATCAGAGGTCTGTTTAGACCCCTAATATCCCATTAAAGCCCCCAAAGGGGCACCAAAAATTTTTTTTTTTTCAATTTAAAAATATTATTGTAACAAAAAAATTAGAAAAATGGTTAAAAAAATAAACTAACAAAAATAAAAAAACTACTGACACCAGTGGCAGAACTATCAGGGTACACAGAGGTCACACTTGCTCCCTACTCTGGCATTCCGCCACCCTCAGAGGGAAGGGCCCCAGCCTGGGCTCAGAGAGGCTGTTCATGGTTTATTGCACCCAGGGCCCTGAAGGTTCCAGTTACGGCACTGGCCACTGCTGTATAAACTGGTGCCTGAGTATAGAAATGAGTGAGAGGAATTGACCGGAAAGACTAATTGTCTTCTCATTTTCATTTTCTAAATTATACAGACTATAGCTGGCTGGAATATTGTTATAGGCAACACAGACATCGCTTCTGTCAAATCAAGTGCTCCGGATATAAAAGACGACTTGTTATAGGCATCATGTCCTTGTTTAGCTCTGATGAATGTTTTTGTATTTTGCAGTAATGTGGAGGATGTGTGCAGGTTCCCCGACCTCCCGGCCCGAAAGCAGCTCACGTACCAGGCCAAGCAGCTTATCTCGCGAGAGATTGAGATGGAGAAGATGAGGAGGTCAGAGGCCTTCCAGCAAGCGCGCAACGCAGGAAGGGTAAGTGCTGAAGAACAACCATAGAGATGTGGTTTATCAACTGGTTACCTTTGTGTCCAATCCTCACCAAAGACAAATTGCTTACTGTGACCTTAAACTGAATGTATTATAGGAGAAATACAGGGGCTGCTCTTGCTGATCTTTTTAACCGCCTCCTGCCCGCCATATATAGCGCTGAGCAAACCCTTCGGCGCTATATAAATACTGTATAATAATATGAGGAAATGACGGGCGCAAGGCGATTCTCTCGTTCTGGGAGGTCGTCATATGACGTCCTATCACTCTAACTGCCCGTGCGTGGCTCCAGGGGTGCGCAGCATGGTGAACGGTGGTGTGCTGTATCCCTCTGACACAGCGGATCACCGATCAATGGAAAGAGCAGAAGACGTCGGCTCGGTCATGTGATCAGCTGTGTCCAATCACAGCTGATCGCATGTAAATAAGAAAATGACGGTTATCGGCATTCCTCTCCTCACGAGCTGTCACACGAACAGCTCGAGAGGAGAGCTGGTAATCCGCATTCCTCAGAGGGGATATGTACACTGATCATCAGGGCACGGATGATCAGTGTAGCCCCAGCAGTGCCACCTGTCAGTGTCCATCAATGCCAGCTGTCAGTGCCCATCAGTGCCACATCAATGCCACAAATCCCCATCAATGCCAGCTGTCAGTGCCCTTCAGTGCCACCTGACAGTGCCCATCAGTGCCACACCAATGCCACAAATCCACATCAATGCCACACAAAAAAATAAAAAACCCAGAGGTGATTAAATACTACCAAAAGAAAGCTCTAGCTGTCTTAAAAAAAAAAAAAAAAAAAAGATAAAATTTCATATGGGTACAGTGTTGCATGACTGCGCAATTGTCATTCAAAGTGTGACAGCGCTAAAAGCTGAAAATTGGCCTGGTCAGGAAGAGGGTATAAGTGCCCAGTAGGCTAGTGGTTAAAAACTCAAGTTGACTGGCCACTCTAAAAGCTTTCTTACTTTGAGTCACTGAGTCCTGGAACTACTATGCAATTCTTCATACCTGCACATGCATGTTCCAGCACACCTAGAAATAAACCCTTGCTGATAAGACACAGATACCTGTTGCATATGAAACAAATTAAAAATCCAACTGCAAGACAGGATCGTTTCTCATTCCTCATGTCTGTGTTAAGTGTGAAGGCCCGGTTGCTGAAGTACAAAGATCTCACCTTTTGAGGTCCCCTAGAGATATAAGGACCAATTTAAAGGATATCTGTAAGTCAGTGTTCAAAACATTTTTGCTTTTGTAATCCCTTGCACCCCAGTTTGACTGTACAAGTCATGGGTGACAGGGAGTTCTGAACTTTGACAGTCATAATTTAATTCCTTTCTCTAACTTCGGTCTTTTTTTGGAAGATTGATTCTTTGTGTACTTTTTCTCTTTTATTTTATTTTTTTAAATTTTTCATCATTAACCACTTCCAGTCCGGACACTTTTACCCCCTTCCTGTCCAGGCCAATTTTCAGCTTTCAGCGCTATCACTCTTTGAATGACAATTGTGCGGTCATGCAACACTGTACCCATATGAATTTTTTTAGCTTTTTTTGAGACCGATAAAGCTTTATTTTGGTGGTATTTATTCACCGCTGGGATTTTAATTTTTTTTGCTATGTAAATTAAAAAGTCCAAAAATTTTGAAAAGTGTTTTTCTTATAAAATTTTGCAAATAAATAGTATATCAGCATAAATCTTGGCCAAAATTTATTCCGTAATATTTTTAGTAAAAAAAAAAAAGATAACCCAACTTAGTTTATAACCAAAATGATCATTTTTAAACTTTTTTTTTTTTTTACTTTTTTAAATTTTTTTTTTTTTTTTTTTTTTTTTTTTTTTTACATACTGTCACCCTAGCAGTACAGTGTCACCATGGTGACACTGTACTTGTGGGGGGTGATGAAGATTTTTTTTTTTTTTTTTTACACTGATTGCTTTTACACCCATAAAGGACGTAAAAGCAATCATTTCTCCTTCTCTCTGGCTGTATTCTTGTAGCCATTGAGAACTACTGAGTGAGCTGTGATTGGTCACAGCTTGTCACATGGTACAAGGCTGTTGTGAATAGCCTTGTACCATGTGACCTCTGTGATCATTCACAGATTTCATAAGTAGTAAGCAATGATGTCACAAGTGACATCTTGCTTACTACTTTGCATGTGATCACTGATTGGCCAATCAGTGATCACATGATCGGGACCTCGTATAGAGGTCCCGTCCGACGATCGGTCTTCCACTGTGTCCAGAGGACACAGCAGGCACCGGATCGCGGTGCTGCGTGTTCCCAGGGAGTGCGCACAAGCAGGGTGCGGGGAGGCCTTTTTTAAACGGCCACCCGACCCTGCACTGGGAGGTGGTTAAAGGATAAGTTCATCTATCCACAAAAAATATAAATGTACTTTTTTTTTTTTTTTTTTTTTTTTTTGGAGGTAAAGCATTGCACCAGCGACCAGCAGATTGCTGGTGCCATGCAGGTCTCCTGCAGAATGTCAATGTATCTGCTTTCTCCTACATCCCATACGAGCAAGCCGATACTTCTGACAGGAAGAATCAATGAACTACCACAGTGCTCAGAGTGTCGTCGTAGTTCATTGAGGACTACAAGCTGACAGCTGCTAAGGCTGTCGATACCTGTAGTCCATTCATTCACAGAGGACTGTGAATGAATGATGCGGCTGTGTGGACGAGGCCCACACGGCCCAGCTGTTTTTGAAAAGTGATAGCTAGCACAACAAAGTTTTTAGATACTTTTGTCATAGGGAGGGGGGCGGCAGCTGCAGGATCAGGAACATGTTACATGTTCCACCCTAAAAACGGGGTGCAACTTGTAACATGTTCCCAAAGGTGAAGTTATCCTTTAACCCCTTCCCGCCGGCGCCTCCCGGCCCTTTAAGAGTTTCAGACGCGCGGAGGCGGGGGCGGGTGGGGCGTGGTTTAGGGATCATGTGATGCGTTGTCACGGCGGTCACATGATTGGGAAAGGTCCCGATCGAAAGAGCAGACAAGGGACCTTTTTGTGAGTACCGAACATGTGTGCTGGGAGCACGCAGGGGCGCGCGCTCTCAGCACATATGTTTTTTCTTACATGAACGCAAATGTGCGGCCCGCCCGGCGTCTAGACCAAGACGCCGGGAGGCAGCACATTTGTGTACGGCTGGCGTAAAGGGGTTAAAGGGTAAAAGTTTGTTCCCTCCTTTTGTTTGAATTATTATACCGCTGGTGAGCAGAGCCCGCTTGAACCCGACATGTCTGCAATCTGAACCCTGAGCGATTTTACAGCTATTTGCAACCAAAAACACATTTAATGTTTGATTTTCCATACTTGTAAAGAGGAAAAATGGCGACAGACCTGGTATAGTTAGAGTCCAAGGCTGCAGATAATATAAGTAGGTTATTCTTTAAATTCTGATCCTGCAGCCCTGGACGAAGTAAAGGTTTGATTTTTGCAAATACAGAAATTTTATTCTTCCTTAACCACTTGCCTACCAGGCACTTATACCCCCTTATTTACCAGGCCAATTTTCAGCTTTCAGCGCTGCCGCACTTTGACAATTGCGCGGTCATGCAACATTGTACCCATATGAAATTTTGATCATTTTTTTCTCACAAATAGAGCTTTCTTTTGGTGGTATTTAATCGCCACTGGGCGCTTTACTTTTTGCACTATAAATAAAAAAGTGCAAAAAATTTGAAAAAAAAAAAAAAAAGTTTCTTTGTTTCTATTATAAAATTTTTTTCAAACAGGTATTTTTTCTCCTTCACGGATGTGCGTTGATGAGGCAGCACTGATGGGCACTGATAGGCGACACTGATGGGCACTGATAGGCAGCACTAAAGGGCACTGATAGGCAGCACTAATGAGGTGGCACGGATAGGCGGCACTGATAGACAGCACTAATGAGGTGTCACGGATAGGCGGCACTAATATATGCACTAATATGCGGCACTGATAGGTGACACTGATGATGGGTACTGATAGACGGCACTGACTGGCATCATCACTGCTGGGCACTGACTGGCACAACCCCTGGGCACTGACTGGTGGCACTGACTGGCAGCACTGCTGGGCTGCACTGGTGGGTGGCACTGGTGGGCAGCCCTGGTGGGTGGGCACAGGTGGGTGGCACTGGTGGGCACAGGTGGGTGGCACTTCTGGGCACAGGTGTGTGACACTGCAGAGTGGCACAGGTGGGTGCACTGCTGGGCACAGGTGGGCGGAGCTAGTGGGCGCACTGCTGGGCACAGGTGGGCGGAACTTGCGGGTGGCACTGCTGGGCACCGATCATCAGGGCACTGATCATCAGTGCCCTGATGATCGGTGCCGATCCCCGCTCTGACAACTGCCAGTTCTCGGCAGTACTTTCCTCACGATCTGACAGTGTGAGGAAAGTGCAGCCGAGAACCGGCAATTGCATTTCCCGGTGATCAGCGTGTCATTGGACACGGGTGATCACGTGGTAAAAGGCCGCTGTGATTGGCCTTTTACCACATCACGTGATCAGCTGTGTCCGTAGGACACAGCGATCACGGAGATCGCCGGGTGCGCGCCCCCTGGGGCGCGCAGGAGAGCGCGTTCTGGAAGGACGTCATATGACGTCCACTCAGAACTGGCCGGCCGCAGTGCAGCCGTCATTCGGCTATCTGCGGTCGGCTACTAGTTAAAGAAGTTGATCTACAGCAGGGGTCTCCACACTTTCTAAACAAGGGGCCAGTTTATGGTCTTAAAGATTTTAGGGAGTGCCAGACAGTGGCCAGTGAGGGTAGAAAATGTCCTGGTATCAGTAGGAGTAAACAATGCCACATCTAGTGGGAGGAATCATGTACCATCATTGGTGTCAGTGGGAAAAATAATGCACCGATTGTTGGTGTCAGTGGGAAAATAATGCCCCATTGTTGGTGTCTGTGGGAAGAATAATGCCCCATTGTTGGTGTCTGTGGGAAGAATAATGCCCCATTGTTGGTGTCTGTGGGAAGAATAATGCCCCATTGTTGGTGTCTGTGGGAAAATAATGCCCCATTGTTGGTGTCTGTGGGAAGAATAATGCCCCATTGTTGGTGTCAGTGGGAAGAATAATGCCCCATTGTTGGTGTCAGTGGGAAGAATAATGCCCCATTGTTGGTGTCAGTGGGAAGAATAATGCCCCTATTGTTGGTATCAGTGGGAAGAATAATGCCCCATTGTTGGTGTCAGTGGGAAGAATAATGCCCCTATTGTTGGTGTCAGTGGTAGGAATTATGCCCCTATTGGAGGTGTCACTGGGAAGAATAGTGCCCATCATTTTTATCAGTGGGAGGAATAGTGCCCCATTGTTGGTGTCAGTAGGATGAATAGTGTTGCAAGGGCCAGATAAAGGCAAGAAAATGGCTGCAGTTTGGAGACCACTGATCTACAGTGAAGACACAATAAAAAAAAAAAAAATTCCAGCTGTGCTCCTAGGCTGTTAGCTCTCTGATCGCAGTGAACAAACAGCTCAACGGATATCTGTTTTTTTAGGTATAAAGAGAAGAGTGCCTTATTCAGATGTTCAGGTAGCTTGATATTACAGTGGAGCTCCACCCAAAAGGGGAAGTTCCGCTTTAAGGACTGCTCCCCAATAAGGATTGGCACCTTTGGGGGGGGGGGGGGGGGGGGAGCTGGTACCCGAATTTGACAGGTACCGGCTCCCACTTCCGGTCCGATCGCTTAGGCGACCGGAAGCGGAAGGTGTCCTCCCTCCCTGTAGTCTTTTGGGACACGTGACAGGTCCCAGAAGACTACAGAACCAATCAGGCAGCGCGGTGTTACTCGCGCATGCGCAGTGGGTACCCGGCTGTGAAGCTGCAAGCTATCACAGCCAGGTGCCCACACTGAAGATGCCGGCCTCCTGGAGTACTGGGCTGTGGGGGGGACACCGCGGGACCGAGGGACAGGTAAGTGGCTATTTTTTTAAAAGTCAGTAGCTACAATTTTTGTAGCTGCTGACTTTTATTTTTTGACAGAGTGAGTGGAACTCCGCTTTGATATGAAATACTTATCTAACACCGTAGACCTGTTTCTGGGGCCTCTCCCTTCCTTAACCGTATGGTTTTTGTAAGTAAATTTGGACAAGATTCATTAAAATGCTATTTTGCTGCTGAAAAGGGCTGAGATGTCCAGAGAGTCCTCATGGAGACAAGTGTTTAAATTCTGTTTCCTTTATTCTTTAATTACTAAAACATGTTACGAAGTGGTAATTTTGGCACATTGGTGGTGTTTTGTAGCAGGGTAAGCTGGAAATCCCTTTTTTTTGTTATTTATATTATGTTGCCACATCTTCAGATGTTTTATCATTGTCTCCTTGCTGCTGTTATTTTTTTCTAACACTCCATGGTCATTCACAACATTGCAAAAGAAAAAAGCATTTGTGACGTTGGTAGTTTTAAATATATATCCTCATGAGATGTCAAGTGCAGAGGGAGAATGACATCCTTTTCTACCTGTAGTCACAGTAGAGTATTAACGATTGTCAAGAGTCACTCAGTGCATGCCAGGGGCTCCCTGCAGAACCCACAGTTGAGTAACATGTTGATCCCAGAAGCCTCTCTGTTTACACGGTATCTCAGAGACCAGTCTGTAAAGACGCAAACAGCTATTAACAGCCGATCTCGCTGGAATGCCAGTATCTTGTACAGCAAATGGCAATTGAAGGGGATGATGAAATTTGAGGTTAGAATAAAAAGAATCCATACATATATGTATCAAAATGTCCCGTTCATAAGATCAATAGGAATGATCTGTTTTTATAACATTTTATCTGCTAAATTATGGTAAGTTCGAGAATGGCTGTTACTGGGAGGTAGGCCAACCAACAGCTTAAAAGTGAACCAGTCTATACGTCACACTTTCAAAACTTTTTTTTCTCCAGTCTAAGAACATGGCGCAAGTCTGGCCCCCGCGTTTCTGCGCTTTTTCGTGGCCAGAGATATTCCTCCAAAGAAAATTTGCGAAGTCTGTCTCCTCTACAGGATTAAGACGTCCTTGGCAAAAGAATACTTCTAAGTCTATTTGCGCATACAGGTGTGCACCTCCCACTACTTCTTGAGGGATCATCTTCTAACACTTGCAGACCATTGGCTATTCCTCATTTTAGACAAATGGGTTCTGGAAGTGATCTCTTCAGGCTACGAGATTTCCTCAGGAGTGTTTTTTGTTTCCCTTCAAACGTGAAACTTTCCCCTCAGCGATTTTGCCAATCTGTATTCAGCCCTTCATGAACTTCTGGCTCAAGGAGTGATAATCCCAGTGCCATCATTCCAAAAAGTTCAAAGACTTTATTCCAGTCCCTTCACTGAAGAAGGGAGTATTACCAGTCCTGGATCTTGATCCTTGATCGCCTTTGTGAAAGTGAGCAAGTTCAAGATGAAATTGGTGCAGTCTGTGGTGGCCTCTTTGCACCAGCGAGACTTCCTAGCATAAGTTGACGTCAAAGATGCCTACCTCCACATCTCTACTTCTTGCAACCACCATTTTCTTGGATTTTCAGTGGGGGAATTTCATTACCAGTTCAGAGCTCTTCCTTTCGGCCTGGTGTCTGCACCTCGGTTGTTCATCAAAGTGTTGGCACTGCTAAAAGTTCAGAGGATCCAGACGGTTTTCTCCTCAGAACAAAGTCTGTGCCGGCCCTAGATTTATTTATTATTACAGGTATTTATATAGCGCCATCAATATACGCTGCACTATATATATATATATATATATATATATATATATATATATATATATATATATATATATATATATATATATATATTTATTAATTAATATAATATATATTACATTCACATCAGTCCTTACCCCTCAAGGGGCTTACAATCTAAGGTCCCTAACTTACATTTATACATACACATACTAGGGCCAATTTAGACAGGAGCCAATTATTTTCCAGCAGGTCTTTGGAGTGTGGAAGGAAACCCAAACAGGCACAGGGAGGTGGTGCGGTGGTTGGCATTTGAACCAACAACCCTAGTATGGCCAGACAGAAGTGCTAACCATTTAGCCACTGTGCTGCAACATCTCCATCATGACTCCGAAATCTGGAGGAATTTGGCTGGATCCTAAATTTCTGCAAGTCTCCCTTAATCCCCTCACCTCGTCCCAGAGTACCTGGGGCTTATTCTGAATTCCAAGGAAGCCAAGGTATTCCTTCCCTTTTGGAGAAATTTCAAAAGCTCTGTCTTCACATATCTCACTGTCCTGCCTTCGGTTGATGTCCATTTGCTGTTGCATGAGAGTCCTGGGCTCACAGTTGCCTATATGCAACATTTGCCATGTGCCTGTCCCATGAAGCAAAGGCATTCTTCACCTGGTGGCTATGTTCCCCTCTACTGTTTGCTCTTAAATTCACTCTCCCCCTCCATTGAAAGATCCTCACAATTGATGCCCGCTTGCTCGGCTCGGGAGGAGTACTGTGTCAGTTGTTTGGTTCAGGGCCAGTGGGTCCAGGAACAGACTGAGCTCAACCAACATTTTGGAACTCTGAGCAATCCATCTCTCTTTCATTGGACTGCTGTCCTTGAAGATAGCCCAATCTGGATTCAGTCAGATGGTTGCATGGCCATGGCCTACATCATTCACCACGGTGGGACAAAGAGCCCCTCAGCTGCTCAAGAAGTGGCTTTTATCCTGGATTGGGTGGAACATCATGTTCCATCTTTGTCTGTAGTTCACATCCCACTGGTTGGCAGAATATCTTCATTGCCTGCACCAAGGGGAATGGTCCCTCCATTCAGAGGTCTATTGACTGTTTTGCTTTGTCAAGGCACACTGGATCCCAGATTCGTGGTAGAACCAAGGATCTTTGAGCTGGTGCAGCAGATTCTCTAATGGGCCCATGGGACAGGTACATTCTCTTCTATACCTTCCCTCCTCTGAAGCTCCTTCTGCATTTTTTGCAGAGGACATTACAGGAGGGCTTGGATTGGCCATACAGGACTTGGTTTACTGACCTTGTTCAGTTGTATGCTGGCATGCCCTGACATCTTTCACTTTACCCAGATCTTCTTTACCAAGGCCTAATATTCCATCCTGCTTTACAGTTGCTGGCTTTAATAATATGGCTGTTGAAACCCAGGTGTTGAAGGCCAGTTTTTCCTAGGCTGTCATTTCCACTATGCTTCAAACCAGGCAGTGCCATCTCTCCATTTACTACCGTACCTGGAAACACCCATTTCTCTTGGTGCGAATCTCGGGGTTTTCTTTCTCGCAGATTTTCTGTAGCTTGTATTTTGGCCTTCCTCCAACATGGTAAAGGCCAGCACAGTAAAAGGCCAGGTTTCTGCATTGGCTGTTCTATTTCAACACCCCTGCCCTCTCTTTCCTTGGTTCATACTTTCTTTCAAAGGGTTACTCTGGTTTTCCCTCCTTCTAGACCCCTGCTGATGCCTTGGGACCTCAATTTGGTTATTTCTGCCCTTCAGAAACCTCCTTTTTGAGTCAATTCACGAAGTTCCCTTGTTGACT